CCCAGAGCCCTACTTGGAGGTTCATGGGTAGTTATACGTGAGGATGTAAGTAGGGTCACTGTAATTATAGAACCCATATTCGGGGACTTATAACTCCACTTATAACTACCCATGAACCTCCAAGTAGACCCTAAACCCTAAACCCATGAACCTCCAAGTAGACCCTGAAACCCCTAAACCCTAAACCCATGAACCTCCAAGTAGACCCTGAAACTCAGGAGGCCAGAGAATCCGTAGAGCCTTTGCCGCATGTCACGGAGCAAGGTCCGAAGTCGCTCCACTCCTGCGGAGACATAAGAAAAAAGACTCAAACAGTCCCCAGAATCCCAGATTTGGGTTTAGGGTTTAGGGTTTGAGACGCCATGAAGCGGAATTCTGTAAGGATCCCTTCCATGTAGGGGCCTGCATCATTAGAATTGGGATGTGGTTGTGGTGTACACCATAGTAGGACACCTTAATAGCTAGAATAGGGTTGTGGGGTTCTTTTAAAGGGTTCCTAAAAGGGTGCTATCAGGGCTACTATAAGGGTTTAGGGTTTAGGGGCCTTAATAATTAGAATAGGGTTTTGGGGCCTGTTATGCTATAANNTATAATCATAACAAGGAACCACCAAACTCGTATTGGCAATTATTTAGGCCTCCACATTAGCCTCAAAGCCCTCAACCTTCAACCCGACAAGCTTTAGATTCCCAAAACCAGATCTGCGTGGATGATTACTGATGACTTTCGCTCAAAGAAGGGCTTGGTATGATGATGCACGGCATATTCCTAAATCAATTCGGTTTGCGGTCCTCTGGAAAAAAAGTAGAAACCACACCCCCAGGCCCTAGCCACGCTGAGAGCCCCTCTGCGAGAAGAGAGAAACTAAAACATACTCCAAAGTTGTACCTAGCACAAGTTGAATGCACGTCCCTAACTAACTAAGCCCATATATTTAAACTCACTAAACCCACTCTATGATACAGGCAGTGCCAACGATTTAGGACGATGGATACATCGGGTGTCCCGGCGAAGGACCGGGGCCTTCGCGAGTCGCCTATCTTTCAGGCTACCAGCATCCCAAGTAGGGGATATCTTCTTTGATGGCTTAGGGTTTAGGGTTTAGNNGGTTTAGGCTTTAGGGTTTAGGTTACTTCACTTATACCAAGACCCCTAGGCACGCTGTAAAAGCTCAAACCCTCCCGCGCAACACCCCAAAACCAACACCTGACTGTTTTGAGTACCTGGACCTGCTGGGACCCAAGTCCTGAACATCACCCGCTCTAAAGTTCACTTTACAGACCCTATAAGCCTAAACCCAAAAAGTTAAGGTTCTTTAAAACGCCTTAGATAAGTCCCAGAAGAAAAACCCCTAAAGCCTCCGAGGAAGTCCGGCCTGCCAAACGCAAGTTCTTTTGTTGCGGCACACGTCACCACAGTCACCCACTTCCTTTGCAAGTCATGGGGGGGGGGGGGGCTGTCAAAGTGG